CCACTTAAATGTTTATCACAGTGGATTATTTCAAATGTGTGTTTGTATTTGTGTGTGTGTGTCACATATACAAGTTATAGGATGCTATGAATCTACTTTAAAATGATAAAAGAGATTTATGCATATTGGAATGTAAGGATATCCACATCATATTTAAAGTGGAAAAAATCAGATTCTAAATCTGTGGTTTTTTAAATCACATTTTGTTATTAAAAATAATTTGTATTCTGTGTTTAGGCTGATAAAAAAAAAAAAGAAAAAAAAATAATTTGTAAAGGCATTGAAAAGTCCAGTAGGGTGTATAACAAGCTGTTTCATTTTCATTTCCTATGGGTAGACCCTACTTTGGCACCTGGAAAATTATTCCACTCTCTTAGCTCTCTTTACATAGGTAACTTGAGAAAGAATTAAGTTACGTGTTTCAAGAGAGCTTTCTTCGTGGTCTGGTCTTCACTTAAACTTCTTGGGGGAGCCAGCCACTCTACTCTAGGTAAGCATGAGGAAAACCTTGTATTTGTCATACTACCTATAAGCCATATTGCACCTTTTGATTTTTCTAAATTACTTACTTTTTTCCTTGTAGATTCTAAATCCTTGAGGACAGCAACCGCATATGGGTCAACGTTCACTTTCGAGCAAATAGTTGTCACTTATTGAACTCTTACTGTGTACCAAATACTGTGCTAAATGCTTTCACTAACCCACTACACCCTTAGATAGATACTATTATGATCTTCATTTTGAAGGTGAAGAGGACATTGAAAGTCAGATTATGAAGCTTGTCCCCAATGCCATTGGCCCAGCTGGGATTAATTCCCACGCCTGTCTGATGTTCACTACACTGTGATCAATAAATATCGGTCCTAAAGGATAGAAATACAACCAGCCGCGGCTTGAGGGCCTCTTCGTGGGATGTAGTAGGAGAGATTTAGCTTTGGACGGGTGGTTGCACTAGAAACCCCCAACTTCGCAGTCCAGATATTCGGAAGCTCCGCCCACGACGGTCGCCCGCGTGAGTCCGGAAGTGAGCGAAAGGGTAGGGCGATTTTCCGGGAAAGGGGCGGGGCCAGCGCTGATTGGTCGGCTTCGGGCGGAAGTCGGGAGGTTGTGTGGCTTTAAGACGCTGGCTTGTGACAGGGAAGGGGAGAAGGAGAGCCTCCCTGAAGGTTGCCTGTCCGTCGCTTCGCTCCCGGGGACCCTCGGACACAACCTGACACCCAAGCCCCGCGGCTGGCTCCTTCCCTCAGGCGCTCGCCGCTCGATCTCGTCACCGTTATGTGGGAAGCGAATCCGGTGAGTGGCCGGGCGGGACGGGGCGGGTCCAGTGGGCGGGGTTGGCGGCGGAGGGCGTGAGGGCTCCGGGACTGCTCCCGCTCCCGCTCCCGCTCGGCTGGGTGCTGCGTGCTGGGAGCTAAGATCTCTGCCTCTTTGAGCGGTGGAGAGGGCTCGGCGGGCTTCCCAACGCTTTATTGCTTTCTTACTACAATTGTTTATTTTATTTTCTGAGGTTTCTCCGACTTCCTCTTTTCACCGTTTTTTAAAAGTTTCAGTTTCGTTTTCTAATTGAAGTTACTGGCGGTCGAACCTGTTAGTTTTAATTTTCCTCAGGTGTACCTGTCAGTCCCATCCATGTAAAGCACAGGAATTCGACCCCCTTGTCTTGGATGGGCCTAAGAGGAACCATCAGTACTCCTTTTGCCTTCTTGGTGGACAGCCATTCAGAACTCGAAGGATGGATTGTATATTCTAATCCTTTAGGTAGTGAAGTTCTTAGATGTTTTCTTTCAACTGTAAGTCTGTCTCCTTCCTTGTTTGACTCCGGTATTTGCATGATATTTACACTTATTTTTGTCTGCTTTGCCTTGATACATTTATTTATTTGAAGTGCACCTGTATGGGGAAAGTGTGATTTCTTTCATCATCACCCACCATAAGGGTCATGACCAACATTTCTTATAACCAAAAACAGGCCAGCAAGAGAAAAGCATAATAAATTTATTTAATCAAAGTTTTATGTGATACATGCGCCTTCAGAAATGAAGACCCAAAGACCCATGGAAAACTCTGTTTTTATGCTTAGGTTCAATGAAGAATGGACAGCCATGTGGAAATGTGATTGGACAAAGGGAATGAATGATCTGATGGGAATAGACTGAGGGGGGAAACCCAGCAAGGCTTGTCTGTTCAGAATCTTCTTGGCCTCTTTGTGTAACGTCCCATCGTCCTGGGTATAGGGCAAGACCCATCTGGAATAAGGGTCTTATGACCTACTATCAGACAAGGTAGGTCAGAAAATGTCTTTTCTTTTTTTTTTTTTGTTATTGTTTTTGAGACAGGGTCTTGCTTTTTTGGCTGGGCTAGATACAGTGGTGCCATCATAGCTCACTGTAACCTCGAACTCCTAGGCTCCAGCAATCATCCTGCCTCAGCCTCCCAAGTAGCTGGTACTGTAGGTGTGCACCACCACACCCAGCTATTTTTGTAGAGATGGGGTCTTGTTCTTGCTCAGGATGGTCTCGAACTCCTGGTCTCAAGCAATCCCAGAGAATTTCTTATGGCCAGCTCCTACACAGAAAGGAAGGGGGAAGGTTCCAGTAATATTTGTAGATTTTATGGCTTGCTTTGTAGAAGAGGGGTTCTAGTTTCTATGACCCACCTTGGGGAAGTGGAATTCTGGTTTCTATGACTGTCTTAAGGGGAGAAAGAGAAGCAGGAGACAGAAGGGCAGAAGAAGGTCAGAGAGACTTTGCTTTTGAGAACTTCCACTCTCCTTTAGTTCAAGGTACTCAGCATGCCAAAGTACCATACTTTAGGGTATCATTTTCTGAGCCCCAATACAACTTTCAAAGAGTGGAATCTCTACTGAGAGTTTTTGTCTCGTTATGGTTGAAATTGCCTAGTAACGTGGCAGATGTACAGTATCTACAACTTAGGAGTTAACTGGAAAAATGACAGAATCACATTTCAACAAGTTGTTGGACAAAATACAACCGTGTGTGCCACTTAATGACAGCGTTACCTCCTGAGAGATTCATTGTTATGTGATTTTTGTCATTGTGGGAACATCATAGAGTGTACTTACATACATCTATGTGGTTTAGCCTATAATACATTTAGGCTACTTGGTATAGCCTATTGCTCCCAAGCTACAAACCTATTCAGCATGTTACTGTACTGAATCTGTAGGCAATTGTTATACACTTGTAAGTATTTGTGTATCTAAACAGAAAAGATACAGTAAAAATATAGTATCATAATCTTGTGGGACTATTGTCCCATATCTGGTCCATTGTTGACAGAAATGTCATTATGCATGACTGTATGTGGAACTACCCCATATTCTGAGATAACTGCCCAAATTTACTCTAATAACCCTTAGTTTCCATACATGCAGTAACTCCTTTCCTGTAATCAATACTCCTCCTCTCCCATTTCTGAAATATTTTCCACATAAACTAGAGAGCTTATCAGTACATTTCCATAAGTTTTTATCCAGTAGAAACTAGTCTGTTGATCTGGATTTGGTAGTTGTACGTTCTGGTTCCTTTTACTCCATCATGTAATGTAGTCATCAAAAATTCTTTGATTCACACATATAATAAATACTCTAATCAAACTACAGAGTAAAGTAATTGATTGTATTTGATTTTAGCAAAAATAATTTAGAATTATGAGAATGTACTCTGTTTATATATGCTTATATATTGTTTCACTATGTCAACAATCTGCATTTTTATATCTGTGTAACTCTATAGATACTCAATTTTTATTAGCAGTCCTTTTTTTCTTGATTTCTTTTTATAACAAACTCTTTAGTCACCCAAGTATGTGTCTTGCTTAAGATCACATGTTTTAAATCTTTCACTATATTCCAAGCTCTCATATGGGCATGGATTTTGCTCCATGTTTATTATGGTATCTTTAGCTAGAGAACAGAGATGGCACATAGTAGGCACTCAATAAGTATTTGTTGAATGCACAATCTTTGTTCCCACTGTACATTCTCCTTCGTGTGTCACACTTATATCAGAACTTGCTATTGGATTACTTGTATGTTTGTGAGAATTATAAAGGCATTAATGAGTGTCTCATATGCTTGGTTTGTTATGTCATTGTGTCATTTCTTCGTAAAATGCTCAGTTTTCTCTGGAATCACCCTCATGATTTTGCTTGATTTCAGCAGAGCAGGCTGACTTTTGTTAATGGTGCTAAACCTTCCACATAATATCCCACATTCTTCTTTTTGCTCTTATGCCGCCTAATATGTCTTACTGCTACTGTGTTTTATTACTACTAATACTGCTTTTCTTCCTGAAAGACATGAATACTGTCAATGCACACAGTTTAGTTTTAAAAATCAATACTTTGCATGTGAATTTCCCTAGTTATATGTTAGTTTCCTTTAATAAAAGGGGCATCTGGCTAGTCTGTCCTAATGTGCTCATGGAATAAAATTTAATTTTAATGTTACCCTAAGCCAAACACAATTGGGAAAATTTAAAAAATAAACAAAGCAAAGCCACAATGCATCCTAAATATAAATGCAGATGGCTTTTGCATTGCCCCAATTTAAATCACTGTTCATTATTTCTTTCCATTGACTGAGATAATCAAATCTATTTTATGAATAAAAGATATAATTAACTGCCTTAATTGAAGAATTCTGCCTAGTTTCTTCCTGCATATTTTTGGTAGCATCCATGACCTTAATGTGTCACTTATGACCTATAGATAATACCTCCTATTGCTCCTATTTCAAATATATCTACTGTGTGATACTGTGTTCCACTCACAAGTGTTTTGAGGAAGTGTTACACTGACCCTGCTCACAGTACTACTTAGAAGCAATGTCCCTTTCCATGCGACGAGTCTCCATAAAGTAGTTTGAATATGGAAAGTCACCACTGACTTTGCAACATTTCCTTGGGAGAAAAACCCTAAACAAATTAACCAAGGAGTGAAAAATAAACTTTACCTCAGTTCACAATTTTATTTTTCTAGACAGACATGACGCCTGTGATGATTCTATTCATGCCTTTCACAGACCAGGAACCTTGGGGTAAGCATAAGGTCCCTACCATGGCAGGCCAGATTGACAGAAACAGCAGGCAGTTCTTATGTGAGCTCTTGGCATTTCTCCATTCACCTTAGGGGACGTAGCCTGTAACTAGTGTCCCCCAGTTTAGGAAAGTGTCAGAGTCTGTAGGAGGAAGTCGGAGGGGTTGTCATCACTACCTTGACTCTTCGTACAGTGACTTTATCCTTGTTTTCTTTGTCTCATTTTAACTGTCTTATTGCTCTTTGCTGGGATTAGAACAAGTAAACAATATTAGATGTGAAAGTTTCAGTATCTCATGCTGATGAATGGAACTGAAAAGTGATAAACATCTTTATATAAAAAGAGTATTAACCACCTACTGTGGTAATAACACCTTACTTTATAGAAAATGATATTCTTCCAAAATTCTTTTCTATTTATTAACTCTTATTAGAATAATATGGTGAGTTAGCTCAAGGAGGGGAAAATGATATTCCCAAGATCAAACAGAGAGTAAGCAACTGAATTGTATTAGTACCCAAGTCCTTTTTCCACTCCTTTCTGTTTCTTTGGTGGTACAATGATAACATTTTTATATTAGTGCAATGCTTTACCTACAGAGCTGTCTTTTCCCCTGTCATTTTATATTCATAGCTGCTTCTAAACTCCCTCATAGCTATGATTCTCTCTCCTTTTTCTGTTAAGCGTCTTGAAAGAATAGTCTCATACGTTTTGTCATTCTTACTCATACCTCAGGTCCTGCAGCACAGCTTCTGCCTCTGACACTTTACTTGCTGGGAGGGCACCAAGAACCTTTGGATCATCTCCTAGAGTGGAAACCTGTGTGCCTTCAGCCTCTTCTGTCTTTCTGCAGCTTCGGTGCCATTAGAGGTTTTCCTGAAAACTCTTCCTTTTCAGTTTCCCTGGAACTGTACTCCTTTGGATTTCTTCTTTTTATGATTTATCTTTGAATTATAATCCTGACTTAGCTGCACTGCCTTCTGCCCATGAAATGTTCTACCTTTAATCTTTTTTTTTTTCTCAGTACATCTTTTTTTTATAAACTTCAAATATTACTCTGGTGACTATTCCTGCCAATGTACATCTTTAGTCCTGACCCCTCTCCTGAGCTAAGTGGTGGAGAACTCCACTGGTTGTCCCTCTGTTGTTCAGACTTAGTATTAAACCATACTCATTCATTCATTTATTTCACTCAGCACATATTTAGTAAGTATCTACTACATGTAAAATAAATACCATTCTAGACACTAGGAGGGGGAAATTCAAACATGGATCAAATCCGAGCCTGCTCCTTAGGGGCTTGCAGTACAGATTACGGGGAGAAAGTGAGATAAGAGGGTATCTGGGGAACTAGGAAGCTTTATCAAAGTAAAGCTTTGAATTCAGTCATCAAGTTACAGAAGTGGTCTTATGGATAGGTCAAAGGAAGCAAAATGACTAACGCCTGCGAAAGTGAAAGAGAATGGAAAGTCTAGTTTGGACGGAGTGAAATGGAGAAAGTGCATATCTGATGATTAGAGTATCAATATGGGCATCTTCAGAGAATAAAGAAGGAGGGGCTATGGGCAATGGAAACTAGTATTTATGGAATGTCTATTCTGAATCAGGCAGTATATTTTTCAGATATACCCTGCAGGCTGGGGTGAGAATAGGGGTAAGATGTATTCCTGGAAATGAAAGTTCTATAAAGAGCATAGTGGCTATGAAGATATATTCCTGACAGTGTAATTTATTACCTACCTAGGACCAACATGTACGATCAAGGGTTTATCTATTAATATCTTTATTTTCTTGGCATTATTTGTAATTATTTTAGTAGTCGGTTTAGCTAAGCTTAGAATATGACCTATATCTGTTTGATGTTCAAAACAGTCAAACTATAGTAGTCTCCCTTTTTCTGTGATTTCCTTTTCTGTGATTTCCTATGGCCAACTGCAGTCTGAAAACATTAAATGGAAAATTCCAGAAATAAATAATTCATAAGTTTTAAATTGCATGCTATACTGAGTAGTGTGGACTCTCATGCCATCCTGCTCCATCTCACCTGGATCATGAATCATCCCTTTGTCCAGCATATCTACACGCTATACTCCACATACTTAGTAGTCACTGAAATAACAGTCAATGGTACTAACTTCTCAATTATTTGTTGAGCAACTATCATAAGCAGGTTGGTGCTAAGTTCCAGGGTTTCCAGTGGTGAACAAAACAGACAACACTCCAGCTCTTACGGGTTTACAGTCTGGTGCAGGCAGGCAGACATTAAATAATCACAACTCCGGTTGTGATTAAAAAAAAAAAAACTATGAAGGAAAAAGTATGAAGACAATGTAGGAGGAACAAATACTCGGCTGGGAAATCAGGGAAGGCAACCTTGTGAAAGTAACTTTTACAGACATTTGAAGTATTGAGCAAAAGTTATCCAGGTAAAGGTTGAATGGAAAGTGGAGAGCGCTGTTCAGATAGCAGAAATGGTGTGAGCAAAGACTCTGAGGCAGAAAGGAGCTCTGTGCTTGAGAAACAGAGAAGACTATATGGCTGCACCACAGTGAACCAAGAGAGACATGCCCAAGGGGTAGTAGGAACCAGGCCATATGTGGCTTTGTGGCACATGTTTGGGATTTTGAACTTTACCTTTAGAGGACTGGCAAGTCATTGAAGGATTTTATATAGGAAATGACATGAACATATTTGTGTTTTAAAAAAGGTCACTTTGGCTGCTATCTGGAAAATGAGTTATGTATTAGAGGTCATGGTAGGCATAATAATGGCCTCCCAAAGATATCCACATCCTAATCCCCAGAATCTGTGAATACCTTAAATTATATGGCATAGGGGAAGTAATTAGCTAATCAGCTGACCTTAAGATAGGGAGATTATTTTGGATTATTTTGGGAAGTGAAATAACAAGTGTTCTTAAAAGTAGAATTTAGGGACAAAAGAAGTGGAATAAGGGAAAAAGGGTCAAAGAGATACAGTTGGCTTTGGAGATGAAGGAAGGGGGTCACAAGGTGTGTGGGTAGCTTCTAGAAGATCGAAGGCCATGAAAATAGAGTCTCTCTTACAACCTTCAGAAGGAAATCAAACCCACCTTGATTTTAACCCATTGAAACCAATGTAAAACTTCTACAGAAGTGTAAGAAAATAAATTGGTGTTATTTTAAGCCACTAAGTCTGTGGTAATTTGTTCCAGCAGAAACAGAAAACTAATACAGAGGGACATTAGAGGCTAAGGGAAGACCAGCTGGGAGGCTACAATGTAGTCCAGAGTGGAGATAAAGATGATTTGGACAAGTGGGTATGTGGGGAGAGAGAAATAGATAGTTCAAGCTCCACCTTGGATGATGAGTGTCAGGTTTCTGGCACAGGCTACCAGGAAGAAGGAGATGTTTTCCCTGAACTGGGGCAGACCGGAAAAGGGAAAGAAATATGGAGGATATCAATAGTTTGGTTTTGGACTCACTAGTTTGATGTGCCTGTGAGGCATTAAGAAGGCGGTTGGGTTGGTGGGTGAGTCTGGAGCTGAGAAGAGAAGGCTAGCTAGAAATTGAAATCTGGGCCTCAGCATCTGTAGATGGCCTTTAAAATTGTGAGAGTAGATGAGATACCTATGACAGTGTTTTCAAACATTCAGAACCCATGCAGACAACTGATTTTTAAATAATACAGCGGTATTTTTCAAAATTAATGTTTTTATTCTCATTGAAAGGATGATTTTTCATAGCTTCTTACAAAGTATTTGTATCTAATTTGAACATAGGTAGCTTGAGATGTAGGTTAGACCCAGACACTTTGATTTTTTTTTTACCCTGTATTTCTACTAAATTAGGAAATACCATGCTACACTGATAGATTGTCAAGAATTGCAACTTGTGTTTGCTGGCTCTATCATCTGTTTGGAATATTAAGTTCAAACACAGACTGAGAACTTTTGTGAAGATTTCTCCCTGAAGACTATTTCTAGTACTCTTTCAGTCACTACATTGACAAGCTTATAATATTAAACAATCATAAGGATGAATGTTTCAACCAGCCTGAATGTTTGAAAGATAGGAGCAAATTGATTCTTAAACCAATTTTTGACTACTTCAGTCTCTGGAAAGTATTTTCTCATGTTTTGTTGTAACATTTAGATGTGTTCTTTATGTATCAACAATAGTGTAATCAGTCTCATTCTCAGATGAGTGAAGAAACCACCAGATTTGGGGAAGGAATCACATTATAGCAATTGAGCCATTTGCACCATAGTTTTGTGACTGCAAAATGTAGTGTTTTATTCTCAGCATTAAAAATCAGCCTTGAAGTAGGGGAATTCAGGTTATTTAAAATTCTAAATATGTATCTGCTATACTCCATTTAATCAGGCCTTTGGAAAACATAGGATTACTTCATTGGTATTGATGATCTTCAGCATCATGAAGAAATGATTTTTTATCTCAGCCCTCATTTTAGAAACTCTGATCAACACTTTTTTCCTTGACAGCCAGCAAACTCGATTGGGAAGAATATTCTTGCAAACACTGCTGTTTATTTCCACAGCATCTGAGAGCATGCACTCTGAGTAGTCAAGATTTGATGATAGTCAATTTCTGTTATTTCCTTCAACACTTAATCATAATTAAGAAGCATATTATTGACTCCTTACTGTTCCATGAATTTAAAGAATCGTAGTAATATATTAATAGCAGGATCCTTTGTTGCTATTTCTATAGCTCATTCTTTTTCAGTATTGAATGTGTTGTACCTTTTTTCAACTCATGTCACAGCTCACAAAAGTATCATTGTCTAAATAAAAACTGTCTTCCCTTGTACTGTGAGTTTTCACTGATAAGCAGAACAAAAAGTTGTTGAATACTTTTACCTCATCACATAATATATATATGTCAAGGACTGATTTATTTATATTTCTCTACAAGTAGTTTGTCCAATTGTAAAACAAAATATATGCTGAAACACTCGTGTGATAGTAATTGCACTTCTATATCATGTGCCAATGACAATACATGATGTCCAACAGAATCATTTAATAAAGAAATTTGTCAATAGCATGTCTTTTCTCAGGCAATAAATTTGGCATTAAATTTGAATTGACAAGCTTCTCAGCAATAACAAGGTCTTTTACCTGGTTTAGCTGAGGAATGCCTGTCTTGTCTTGGTCTCTTCTCTATCCTTATCAACAAAGCAAATGGATTTTGGGGATTTGTGTGAAAATGATCTGAAAATTTACTTGGTTTTACACCACTATATTTAGTGAATGCTAAATATGGCTGATATGAACTGACCAACAGAGACTTAACATAATGGGATATTGTAGTGAGTGGTAACTTTAAAGAAAATAAAGGATTCTCATGAAAATCTTCATTAATTTTACATTTCAACTTTGCAAAATGTATGTAAACAAATTTATTTCATTACTTCTTTTTTTTTTTTGAGACAGAGTCTTGCTTTGTTGCCCAGGCTAGAGTGAGTGCCATGGCGTCAGTCTAGCTCACAGCAACCTCAAACTCCTGGCTCAAGCAATCCTCCTGCCTCAGCCTCCCAAGTAGCTGGGACTACAGGCATTCGCCACCATGCCCGGCTAATTTTTTATGTATATATTAGTTGGCCAATTAATTTCTTTCTATTTATAGTAGAGACGGGGTCTCGCTCTTGCTCAGGCTGGTTTCAAACTCCTGACCTCGAGCAATCCGCCCGCCTCGGCCTCCCAGAGAGCTAGGATTACAGGCGTGAGCCACTGCGCCCGGCTATTTCATTACTTTTGCCTCCGAAGATGCCCGTCAACTGTTTTATAATCCCTGAGGACCATGTTTTGAGGATACAGAGAAAAGAGAAGAGGGGCTAGGACTGAGCCAGGAGGAACTCTAAAAGTTATAGACTGAGTAGAAGTCAAGGCGCAAAAGAGATTGGGAATCTGTGGGCATATATATTGATGGTCTCCATGATCTGAAGAGTGTGATGTCATAGAAACTAAGAAGAGTAATTCATGACAGAGGCTAAACAGTGAAATGTTACAGAGATAAGTAAAATGAGGACCGAAAAATACATATTAATAGGATTTAGTAACAGCAAGCTTATTAGAGGTCCTGGCATTTTTTTCTTTTAAGTGATGATGTGTTGAGAAAGGCTGGGTTAGAAGCTACAAAAGTTACATTGGAGTGAGTATTCGAGTGCATAGAAAATGAAGAAATAAAGTATATAGAGAAAAAGTTATACTTAAGTCACCAAAGGAAATAAAGTGGAATCCTAAAAGCACTAAATCCAAAAGAAGATAGAAAATGGGAACAAAGAACAAGAGGGCCATAAAAAAAAAAGGCAAATTGCAAGGTTATAAACTTTAATCATATCAATAATCACACCACACGTAAATGCACCAAACACCACATTTAACAGACAGAGATTGTCAGTTTGTATTAAAAGTCTAGACCTGAGTATAAGTTGTCTACAAGAAACACACATTGAATATAAATCACAAATAGAATATAATTAAATAGAGAAAGATATATGATGCTAACACTTGTCAAGAAAAAGTGTGAGTGGTATATTAATGTTAAGGTAGATTTCAGATAATGATATTATCAAGGATAAAGACTGTCATTTCCTAATGATGAAGAGGTCACTTATTCAGAAACAATCCTAAACATTTATACATCTAATAAAACTTCAAGATACATGGAGCAAAACTAATACAATAACAATAAGAAGTAGAAAGATTCCCAGTTATACCTGGAGATTTCAATAGTTTTCTCTGAATAATTGATGCAATAAGTATGCTAGATAGGAAATGAACAGTGCTATAGAAGACTTGAACAACATCATCAGCCAACTTGACCTACTTGACATAGAACACTCCACCTGCCAACAGTTGAATACCTGTTTTTTTTTTTTCCAACTATACAGAGAACATTTAACAACATGGACCATATTGTGGGTCATAAAACATGTCTGAGTACATTTAAAAGAATTCAAGTCATATATGCATTCTGACAAAAGAAAATGGAATTAAGTTAGAAATCAGTAATAGAAGGATACCTATAAAATTCCCAAATATTTGGTAAATAAGTAACAAACTTTGAGATAACCCATGGATCAAAGAAATAAAAAGAGAAAATAGTAGGAAAACACAACATATCAAATTTGTAGGGTGCTGCTATAGCAGTACTTAGAGGGAAATATAGGATGGCCAAATAAATGCCCATGTCAGAAAAGAAGAATTGTCACAAATCAATAAGCACAGCTTCTTTTTTAAGAAACTAGAAAAAGAAGAGCAAGTCAAACTCAAGCAGGAGCAAGGAAATAAAGGTTAGAGTGGAAATCACTGCAGTAGGAAACAATAGTGAAAAATCAATAAAATTCAAAGTTCTCACTACATATTCTAAAGACATTAAAAGGATAATAAGGGAATATTATCAACAACTTTATATTAATAAATATTACAACTTAGATGAAATGGACATATACCTAGAGAGACACAAACTACCAAAGCTTACTCAAAAAGAAATAAATAACATGATTAGCCCAATATCTATTAAAGAATTTGAATTTATAGGAAAAAAACCTATTCTCCAAGAAAATTCCAGGACCAGGTGGTTTCACTGGTGAATTCCACCAAATATTTAAAGAAGAAATAATACTAATTAACACAAAAGTTTCAGGAAATTGAAAAGGCAGTAATACTTCACAGCCCAATCTATGAGGCTGTCATTATCCTGATATCAAACCCCATCATAGAAAACTGCAGACCAATATCCTAGATGAACATGACTACAAAAATTCTAAACAATTTTAGCAAATTGAATCTAACAATATGTAAAAGGATGAATACATCAAGACCAAGGGGTATTCATTCCAAAAATGCAAGGTCAGTTTAATATTTGAGCAGCAATCAATGTAATTCACCATATAAACAAACTAAAATGAAAAACCATATGATCATTTCAATACATGCAGAAAAAAAATATTTGATAAAATCCAATATCCATTCCTGATTAAAATTTTTGCAACCTAGGAATAGAAGGGAAATTGGCCAACCTGAAGAGAAGTTTGTGGACAACAGTTAACTCGGCAGGCTGGGTTCTCAAATTATGCACATTCCTAAGAAAAGATATTTCCATGACTGTCCTTTGCTCAATTCCAGGGAACTAAGCTCTTAAAATGTTTTGTCTAATAAGAGTGTATTTATATGTCTGAGGCCTTGAGCATGCCATACCAGTTTGTCCAAATAGTTATAAACAATGTGATTTCTGGTGAATATCTGCATTCCCTCTGGGAATCTGGAGCTTCAGCAATAGGTCAGTCACCTAGGTACTGTATGCTTATGTGACTGATTCCCAGTAAAAACCCTGGACACTTAGGCTCAGGTGAACTTCCTTGGTTAGTAACACTTTGTACACTTCGTCATATAGTTGCTGGGAGAATTATGTGTGTCCCACATGACTGCACTAGGAAGGGACACTTGAAAGCTTGTACTTGATTTCTTTTAGACTTTACCCCCTGTGTTTTTTTCCTTTGCTGATTTTACTTTGTATCCTTTCACTGTAATAATCATGAGCAGAGCAACTTTTGAGTCCTGTGAATCCTTCTAGCAAATCGTCAACCCCGAGGATTGTCTTTGGGACTGCTGACACAGGGATATCTACAAAACATCTATATCTGATACCAACTTAGTGGTAAAAGACTGACTACTTTCTCAATAAGATCAGGAACAAGGCAATGATGCCCATTCTTTATTATTGTATTGGAGATTCTGACGAATGGAAAAAGGCAAGAAAAAGGAATAACTGACATCTAGATGTTAGGAGAAAGAAGTAAAGCTGTCTTTTTATTATATATAATACTCTGAAAATCTGATGGAATCTTTGAAAAGCTTCTAGAACTAATAAGTAAGATTGCTAGATATAGGATTCATATACAAACATCAGTGTATCTCTATATATTAGCAACATACAACCAGAAATTGGTATGCAGTTCCATTTGCAATAGTATCAAAAATATGAAATGCTTAGACATGAGTCGTGCATAAAATGTACAAGATATGTACGCTGAAAACTATAAAACATTACTGAAAAAAGTTAAAGAAGACCTAAACAAGTCAAGAGATACAATACATTCATGGGTTGGAATACTCAATATTGTTAAGATGTCAATTCTCTCCAGATAGATTGATAGATTCAATGCAAGCCCAATCAAAATTCAAAGGATCTGGAATAGCCGAAGCAATTCAGAAAAAGAAGAACAAATTTGGAGAGCTAACACTACCTGATTTAAAGATTCGGTATGAAACTACAGCAATTAAAACAGTGTAGTATTGGCATCAAGATAGGGAAATTAATTAGTGGAACAGAATAGTGTCAAGAAATAGACCTGCAAACATGGATGACTGAATTTTTTTATAAAGGTAAGATTCAGTGGGAAAAGGACAGTTGCTTTAACAAATGATGCTGAAACAATTGAATACTCATATGCAAAAAAAAAAATAACTATTAATAAAAATGGGCCAGAGACCTAAATGCAGAACTCAAGACTATAGATTTCCAGGAGAAAAGATAGGAGAAAAATCATTGTGGCATTAGCTAGGCAAAGATTTTTAAAGCTATGATACCAGAACCGTGATCCATAAAAGAAAAAAATTATAAAATGGACTTCATCAAAACAAAAACTTCTCAGGTTCAAAACATACTGTTAGGAAAGTAAAAAGATAAGCCACAGACTAGAGAAAGTATTTATAAAGCATGTGTCTGATAAATGCCTAGAATTTATTAAGAACTATTACATCTCAAGAAAAAGAAAACAGTCCAATTTTTTAAAATGAG